ACAATCAGATGCAGCCGGATGCAGGACCGAACGCCTAGAAGAAGGCCCCCGCTCACAGGCCCTCCCTGGTGCGCAGCACCCTATATCATGCAAAGCTTCTCCCCTAAACTGATTAACAACAACTCCCTGTTGCTAGACTTGTCCCTCCTCCTGCACCGCACCCTGTGTTAGACAAGGCCCCTCCCGAGCTGGTTTAAACAAGCTGCGTGGCGTTGGACGTGCGCCTACTGCATCCATCACCCTGCATTAGACAAGGCCCCTCCCCAAGCAGAGTAAACAAGTTCCTTCGATACTAGACGTTCAACTCTTCCTACACCGGCCCTCTCTACTATACGGGCCGCCTCTGTCAGAAAAGGCCCCTCGCCGAGTTTTTGTTGTTATATATATATATATAGAGGTATAAAACACCTCCTCGGCGCTAGACGTGCCTCGACGTGCCTCTCCTCCTTCACAGCCCCCTCTGGTGCGCAGCACTTTGTATTAGACAATGTTCTGTTTCCAAGCTGATGAAAAACAAGTGCCGGACGCGTCCAGGTGTCCTGCGCAGCACCCTCTACTAGACAGGGCTCCTCCCCAAACTCATCTAACAAAAGAACTACTTGGTGCTGGACGTGCCCCTTCTCCAACACAGCCCCGCTGTGCTGCGCGGCACCCACCGTTAGAGAAGACCCCTCCCCAAGCTGATGAAAACAGTTTCTTTTAGACTAGACGTGCCGCTCTTCCTACACCAGCCTTCTCTGCTACACAGGCCCCCTCGGTTAGACACCCCAAACTGATTAAAAGTACTCCTTGGTGCTAGACGTGCCCTCCTGTTTCTCAGGCCCCCTCTGTTGCGCGGCACTCTCTATTTGACAAGGCCCTCCCCAAGCTGATTAAAAAGAAAACAACTCCTTGGTGCTCGACGTGTCCATCCTCCTGCGCAGCACTCTTCGTTAGACGAGGCCCCTCGCCAAGCTGAGTTTTATAAACCTACTTGGTGCTAGACGTACCCTCCTCTTTCACAGCCCCCCCCATTGCTGCACAGCACCCTCCATTTGACAAGGCGCGTCCCCAAGCTGATTCAAACAGCGTCTTGGTGCTTGACGTGCACCGACTCCTGCACAGCACCTTCTATTAGAAATGCGACTCGCCAAGCTGATTCAAACAAACTACTTGTTGCTCGATGCACCTCTCCTGCGCAGCACCCTCCATTAGAAGGGCCCCTCCACAAGCTGATTGAAAACACTGTTAGTACTAGGTGTGCCGCACATCCTGCATCGGCCCTCTCTACTACACAGGCCCCCTCTGTTTGAGAGGGCCCCTCCCCCAGCTCATTACACATATTCCTTTGTGCTAGACGTGCCGCTCGCCCTTCATAGGCTCCCCCTGCTGCGCCGCATCCTCTAGTTGACAAGGCCTCTCTCAAGCTGATGAAAAAAAAACAGCTCCTTGGTGCTAGGTGCTACACGTGCTTATTCTCTTGCGCAGCACCCTCAGATAGACAAGGCCCCTCGCAAAATGGATGAAATCACGCTACTCCGTGCTAGACGAACCGCTCCTCTTTCACAGGCCCCCCCTCTGCTGCACAGCACCCTCTATTAGACAAGGCCCCTCGCCAAGTTGACTAAAGCGAGCTACTTGTTGCTGGATGCCCCCCTCCTGCCCAGCACCCTCTATTAGAGGAGGCCCCTCTCTAATATGATTGAACAAGTTGTTGATGCTATGCGCTCCTGCATGGCACCCTCCATTCGAGGAGACCCCCCGATGCTGCCCAGGCCCCTTCCTTCGGTACGAGTCGTGCCGCTCCTTCTACACATGCCCTCAGGCTGCTTAAAGAATTCGCCTGGCAAAAGACCGTCTTTGGTGGAGCTCCCGATGGGGCCACGAAACGTGTGAAGGGCTGTGCTCCGAAATGGGTGCGGCGGGCGCATGCGGGCGGTGGCACTGGGGCCTTCGGTGGCGCCCCCTATGGGGCCACGAAACGAGTGAGGGAAGTGCCCCGACATGGGTGTGGCGGGCGCATGCGGGCGGTGGCACTGGGGCCTTCGGTGGGGCTCCCGATGGGGCCACGAAACGTGTGCGGAGTGTGCCGAAATCGGTGTGGCGGACGCATGCGGGCGGTGTCACTGGGGTCTTCGGTGGAGCTCCCTATGGGGCGGCGAAACGTGTGAGTGGTGTGCCGAAATGGCTGTGGCGGCCGCATGCGGGCGGTGGCACTGGGGCCTTCGGTGGAGCTCCCGATGGGGCCACGAAACGTGTGAAGGAAGGGTGTGCCCCGACATGGGTGTGGCGGGCGCATGCGGGCGGTTGCACTGGGGCCTTCGGTGGAGCTCCCGATGGGGCCACGAAGCGTGTGAGGAGTGTGCCGAAATCGGTGTAGCGGACGCATGCGGGCGGTGGCACTGGGCTCTCGGTGGAGCTACCTATGGGGCAACGAAGCGTGCGAGAGGGGTGCCAACGTCGCTGTGGCGGCCGCATGCGGGCGGTGGCACTGGGGCCTTCGGTGGAGCTCCCTATGGGGCCACGAAGCGTGTGAAGGGTGTGCCCCGAAATAGGTGTGGCGGCCGCATGCGGGCGGTGGCACTGGGGCCTTCGATGGGGCTCCCTATTGGGCAACGAAGCGTGTGAGAGGTGTGCCAACGTCGCAGTGGCGGACGCATTCGGGCGGTGGCACTGGGGCCTTCGGTGGAGCTCCCTATGGGGCCACGAAGCGTGTGAAGGGTGTGCCCCGAAATAGGTGTGGCGGACGCATGCGGGCGGTGGCGCTGGGGTCTTCGGTGGAGCTCCCTATGGGGCCACGAAGCGTGTGAGGGGTGTGCCGAAATGAATCTGGCGAGCGCATGCGGGCGGTGGCACTGGGGCCTTCGGTGGGGCTCCCGATGGGGCCACGAAACGTGTGAGGGGTGTGCCCCGACATAGGCGTGGCGGGCCAATGCGGGCGGTGGCACTGGGGCCTTCGGTGGAGCTCCCGATGGGGCCAAGAAACGTGTGAGTGGTGTGTCGAAACTGGTATGGCGGACGCATGCGGGCGGTGGCATTGGGTCCTTCGGTGGAGCTCGCTATGGGGCCACGAAGCGTGTGACGAATGCGCCGAAATGAGTGTGCCGGACGCATGCGGGCGGTGGCATTGGGGCCTTCGGTGGGGCTCCCTATGGGGCCACGAAACGGGTGAGGGGTGTGCCCCGAAATTGATGTGGCGGACGCATGCGGGCGGTGGCACTGGGGCCTTCGGTGGAGCTCCCTATGGGGCCACGAAACGGGTGAGGGGTGTGCCGAAATCGGTGTGGCGGACGCACGCGGGCGGTGGCACCGGGGCCTTCGGTGGAGCTCTCTATGGGGCAACGAAGCGTGTGAAGGGTGTGCCCCGAAATGGGTGTGGCAGACGCATGCGGGCGGTGGCACTGGGGCCTCCCTATGGGGCAATGAAGCGTGTGAGGGGTGTGTCGACGTCGGTGTGGCGGACGCGTGCGGGCGGTGGCACTGGGGCCTTCGGTGGCTCCCGATGGGGCCACGAAGAGTGTGAGGGGTGTGCAAACATGCATGGCGATGATGGTGATGATTAGGGCGATGATGATGACGATGCCAGTGATGATGGCGGCCAGGATAATGATATTGCTGCTGATGATGATCGCGATGACAATGATGCTGATGATGATGATGCTGTTGATGATGATGGTGATGATTATGTTGATGGTTATGGTGACAGTGATGATGGTGCTGATGATGACGATAATTCTGATTATTGTGATGATGATGCTGATGATTACGACGATGACGACGATGATGATGATGATGACGATGATGATTTTGATTGTGATGATGACGGTGATGTTGATGTGGGTGATAATGTTGATGTTGATGTTGATGACGATGTTGATGGTGATGCTGACGCTTATAATGATGATGGCGTCGACGATGATTATGCTGATGCTGATGATGATGACGACGACGATGATGATGATGATGATGATGATGATGATGATGATGAATATGACGATGACGATGGCGATGGCGATGATGATGATGATGATGATGATGATGATGATGATGATGATGATGATGATGATGATGATGATGATGATGATGATGATGATGATTGATGATTGATGATTGATGATTTATGATTCATGATTCATGATTGATGATTGATGATTGATGATGATGATGATGATGATGATGATGATGATGATGATGATGATGATGATGATGATGATGATGATGATGATGATGATGATGATGATGATGATGATGTTGATGCTGATGATGATGGGAGGAGGGGCGAGGGGGAGGGCAGTGGGAGGAAGGAAGGAGACGCGGGGCGCTGTCTCTTCAAAACGAAGACCCGCCACCGCAGGATGGTTGTGAAAAGCTCCTTGGACACTGGACGCTGGACACCGGACACCAGACACTGCATCGACAAAGGGCACTGGGCACAGGACACCGGACAGTGGACCGCGGACAACGGTAAGCAAACACCAGACACCGGACGCCAGACACTGGACGCCAAACACTGGATGGACACCGGACACCCGACATCGCCAGACACAGGACACCGACACCAGACACCCGACACCGGACACCCGCGCGCTCCAAGCGCCAGGGAGAGGGGCCCGGCGCCGACCCAAGAAATCACCGCCGACCTCTGAAAATTTATGTTTATGCCGTTTCCAAATTTTCGATCCTCCTCCTCCTCCTGAACCACGAACCACCAGGAGGAGGATGAGGAGGATCGAATAGTTTAGGCGGCACAATGAGGGTCCAGCGCCGACCCACGAAATCTGCTTGTGCCGATGAAACCAATCGTCAGCGCACACAGCATCAGCCAAGACATCGATAAGAGGTGCAAGGCGAGGATGAGGAGCTTCAGGAGGAGGATCCGGAGGAGGAGAAGCGGGAGGACGAAAAGTGCAGATGGCACGGTTGGAACAATAATCATCGACATAAACATAAACTTTCGGAGGGTCGCGCGGACCCCCAAAAGTTTAGCATTGTGCCGAGTTCTTTGCTTCGAGCGATGAGACCTGTCGTCGGCGCCGCAGGACTCCATGGACGGGTCCACCGCGCAACCCTCCAGGTAGAGCTCCGCCTGCTTCCGGCAGTCCACGTCGTACTCCAGCTCGTCCACCTCCAACCGCCCCTGCTCGCGAGCCCTCTGCCGGAACTTCCTCTCCCACGGGTTCAGGGAGGGCCTTAGAGGAGGAGGGGGAGGGGGAGGGGGAGGGGGAGGAGGGGGAGGAGCAGAGGGAGGAGCAGGAGGAGAGGAGGAGGCGGAGGAGGAGGAGGAGGAGGGGGGAGGGGGAGAGAGATGAGAGGAGGAGGTGGAGGAGGAGGAGGAGGAGGGGACGAGGAGGAGGAGGAGGAGGAAGGAGGAGGAGGAGGAGGAGGAGGAGGAGGAGGAGGAGGAGGAGGAGGAGGAGGAGGAGGGGAGGGGGGGGGGAGGGGGGAGGGGGAGGGGGAGGGGGAGGAGGAGGAGGAGGAGGAGGAGGAGGAGGAGGAGGAGGAGGAGGAGGAGGAGGAGGAGGAGGAGGAGGAGGAGGAGGATGAAGCGGAGGCGGAGGCGGAGGCGGAGGAGGAGGCCCCCGAGAATCGGAGCAAGGCGAAAGGAGACCACGGCAGCTCACAATCGATCCCCAGGCCCCTCCCGGGGTCCAAACGCACCAAGCTTCCGAGCGGCCTCCTGCCCCGAGGCGACGAGAGGGCCTCCCGAAGGCCAGCCACCGTTCTCTCAATTCGCCCTCCTTCCTCCGAGAGGAGGGGGAGGAGGAGGAGGAGGAGGAGGAGGAGGAGGAGGAGGAGGAGGAGGAGGAGGAGGAGGAAATGGAGGAGGAGGAGGAGCAGGAAGAGGAGCAGGAGGAGGAGAGCAGGAGGAGGGGGAGGAGGAGGAGGAGGAGGAGGAGGAGGAGGAGGAGGAGGAGGCGGAGGCGGAGGCGGAGGCCCCCGAGAATCGGAGCAAGGCGAGTGGAGGCCACGGCAGCTCACAGTCGATCCCCAGGCCCCTCCTGGGTTCCAAACGCACCAGGCTTCCGAGCGGCCTCCTGCCCCGAGGCGACGAGAGGGCCTCCCGAAGGCCAGCCACCGTTCTCTCAATTCGCCCTCCTTCCTCCGAGAGGAGGGGGAGGAGGAGGAGGAGGAGGAGGAGGAGGAGGAGGAGGAGGAGGAGGAGGAGGAGGAGGAAATGGAGGAGGAGGAGGAGCAGGAAGAGGAGCAGGAGGAGGAGCAGGAGGAGGAGCAGGAGGAGGGGAAACGCCAGATCGAGCCCTGATCGATGGGTCAGAGCCTGCTAGGGCGACGGCCCGTCCACCCTCTTGGTCGCCATCCTCGTGATGCCCGTGTCGAACGCCTCCCAGAAGATCTGCTCGTCGCTCATGTTCATCACCCGGTTGTACTCGGCGGTGAGGATCGTGAACTTCTCCTGGAACTCGTCTCTGTCCTGGGTCGGTTGTAGATCGGGGTGAGAGGTGCGGACAAAGTCCTCTGACGGAGCCAAAAGTGGAGGAACAAGCAACGACATAAAAATAAACTTTTTGAGGTCCTCGCCGATCTCTTGCTTCGGCACTGGGCGCTGGTCCCCTCTCCCTGGCGCTTGGAGCGCGCTGGAGGCGTCGCCAGGGGGCCCAGCGCCGATCCAAGAAGTTCGTGCGGAACGCCGAGAGAGTGTGCTTTATGCATGCCGTTCTGGCTTCTTCGGTAAAGAATCCATCTGCCCCAGCCCTTGGCAAGAAGCGAGGGAAGGAAGAGGGGGGAGAGACAGCGGGACCCGGGGGGAAGTGGCGAGGGAAGGGCACTGGGAGGGGGAGGCTCTGGAATGGGGATGGGGGCAGCGGTGCACTTGTTCCTTGCTCTGCCTTGTCATTTTTGCAGCAGTGGGCAACCCCTTCTGAAACCCACGGCGGCCTCGAGGGCTGACCGAATCGCCCCGGTCACTGGGACCAGGGAACCGACGAACAGAGCAGCTGGCAGCGGGACGGTGCCAGAGCCCATGGAGAAGGAGGGGGGCGGGTTGCTGCTCAGGTGCACCCTCCCTGATATCCGCTGGCATGTTTTCCCCAATCCGCGGCCCCAAAACTCCCGTCCGCTTCCCTTGGGGTGGTCCCGGATCCGTGTTTGGGATCCGACAGCGGCCCCCGAGGGCCGCCTGACTATGGCGAAACTCCGCCGCGTGGAAACACCTCGTCGTCGGAGATCTCTCTGGGCCTGCTGCCGCCCGTCCTTGTAGGCGGTCTTGATCTCCTCCCTCTTCGCGTCGTGCCTCAGCCCCAGCATGTCCCAGATCCGCGCGCGCAGCGTGAAGCCCTGCGCCCTGCTCGGGATCTTCTGCGGCTCCTGCCAGCGCTCCTCCTCGGCGGCCGCAGCAGGGGCAGACGGCCCACAAGGGGGAGCCCTGCGCGTATCCTGGGGGCTCCGGTCGCCCACGTCTTCGACGGAATCTCCCCGACGGATGCGTGCAGTGCCCGCCCTTGGGCTGCCCGCCCACTCACCGTCTTCCGTCACGGGAACGTGCGACGATGTGTCTGTTGATGTGTTGTTGTTGTTGTTGTTGTTGTTGTTGTTGTTGTTCTTGTTGTTGTTGTCGTTGTTGTTGTTGTTGTTGTTGTTGTTGTTGTTGTTGTTGTTGTTCTTGTTGTTGTTGTTGTTGTTCTTCTTGTTGTTGTTGTTGTTGAACTCTCATTATCGAACAAGAGCTATTATTGATCCCCCCTTCTGGTAAGATGTGCGTCTTTCGATTGAAGTGCCCCTCCTGGGGATCGCACCCGGTTTTTATAAGGGAAAGTCTTCCTCGTCAAACTGCGCTGTTAGCCCCCGAACTACATCAAGAACGGCTCCCGCCTGATAGTTCCTGGCAATTTACTGAAGAATCGCGCTCTCGTTAGGGACTTCCTTGCAATTCATTAAAAAGGAGTTGCGCTCTCGTTTTTGACTTCCTCGCAGTTTATTCAGGCGCCACGCCCTCGCCATTCAGGAATCGCGCTCTCGCCTGGGACTTCCTCATAATCTACCTAGGAATCGCGCTCTCGCCTGGGACTTCCTGGCAACTTATACAGAACTCACCCATTCCATTCGCGTAACATACATGTTTTTCAACTGAAGTGCCGCCTCCTGGGGCCCGCTGTGTTCTTACCAGGGAAAATCTTCCTGCTCAAACTGTGCCCCTGGCCCCCAGACTTTCGACACTCAGGAATCGCGCTGTCGTTTGGGACTTCCTCGCAATTGATTCAGGCGCCGTGCCCTCGGCACTCAGGAATCACGCTCTCTCTTTGGATTTCCTCACGAGATTTGTTTTAGAATCGCGCTGTTGCTCAAGGCGTCCTCGCGATTCATGCAGGAAGCACGCTTCAGCAACCCGCCTGCTCGACCTGGCCGCCTGGGCCCGCCTGTTGGGGTCTACCCGCCCGATCTGCCCGTCTGGTTCTGCCACGTGTTTTCTGCTCCTAGCCCCACTCCTGCTACTCTCTCTCATGCTCCATCCTCCTCTCTCCCCCTTGTCCCTTCCTTCCATCCGTCCTCTCTTCCCCTGCTTTAGGTACTGCACAACATGCACGTTGCAGGTAAGAAAGGCATACCCCCACGGGGATACGCTCGAAGACGAAGAGGGAGGGTATCGAGGGTTTGGGATATGCGTGTTGAGTGGCACGCGATTAGATAAGAGCGAACATTCTTAAACTTACTGTTGTTGTTGCTGTTGTTGTTTTAGTTGGTTGGTGTTGTTAATGGTCTTGATGTTATTTTTGTTGTTGTTGTTGTTGTTGCTCTTGTAATTTTTTAGTCATAGTATTCTTGTTGTTGCTGATGTTCGTGTTCTTGTTCTTGTTGTTGAAGTTGTTGTTGTTGCTGTTGTTGTCGTGGTTGGTTGGTTGGCTGGTTGGTTGGTTGGTTGGATGGCCGGTTGGTTGGTTGGCTGCTTGGTTGTTGTTGTTGCTGCTGCTGCTGTTGTCTTCGTCCGCGGCCCCAGAGGTCCCGACCCTTTCCCCGGGGGCAGCTTGGCATCCCGGACCCAGTCCTGGCGGCCCCGGGGCCCGAAGACGCACCGCAGCAGAGGCAGATATAAATATGTACGTGCGCGGATACGAGTCTTAAGAAGACGGGAGAGGAGCGCGACCACAGAATTTCGCCTGACTCGGCCTCGACCGCTGTGCGAATCAAAAGGTCGCCAGGCAGACCGGGAACACCAAAAGAGCCGACCTACGATAGGCAAAGTCATGCAAGGAACCGGGGGCTGAAAGAGGAACGAGCGTGCTGCATGCGTGAAGAAGGGACGAGCGAGGAGGAGAGACGGGAGGCATTTGGCAGGGCGGGCACGGCGGGCGAAAACCGCGGCTCGCCACGAACCACACACATATACATATGCATGCATGTATGTATGTAAGAATGCTTGTATGTATGTATGTATGTATGTATGTATGCCTGTCTGTCTGTCTGTCTGATGTATGTATGTACGCATGCATGTATTAATGAATTAATGTATGCACGTATGCATGTATGCACGTATGAATGTATGCATTTATGCATGTATGTTTGTTTGTATGTATGTATGTATGTGTGTATGTATGCATGCATATCTGCATTAATGCATGCATACATGTATGTATGTATGCATGTATGCATGCATGCATGTATGTATGTATGCATGTATGCATGTATGCATGTATGCATGTATGCATGTATGCATGTATGCATGTATGCATGTATGCATGTATGCATGTATGCATGTATGCATGTATGCATGTATGCATGTATGCATGTATGCATGCATGTATGCATGTATACATGTATGCATGTATGTATGTATGCATGCATGCATGCATGCATGTATGTATGTATGTATGTATGTATATATGTATATATGTACATAGGAAAAACCGGTCCGATGTAACGAGGCATATCGTCGGAGAGCTTGGCCTGCTGGGATGGGGCCCGAAGGATAAGGAGAGGGATCACACGCTGATCCTCCACCGTTCGAGGCCACTCGTCCACGCGTTCCTATCCCGCAGGGCCCCATCCCTGAATCGCCGACCTCCGCCCTCCTAACTAATCGACGGTGTTTTTCTCAATCCGCGACCACAAGGAGGTCCCGACCCCTCCCCCCCGGGAGCAATTGTGCATTCTGGACCCCATCTCTGCTGGCCCTGGGAACCAACGGCGGACCGCAGAGGCCCAAGAATCGAACCGAGAAAGACCGCCGTGGGATGGAACCATCATGACGTCGGAGAGGTGGCCCCGCCGGGGTGGGCCCCTAAGGACAAGAAGGGGACCACAAGCCGAACCTCCACTGTTCAAGGCCACTCGTCCACGGGGCCCCACCCAGACCCCAGACGTCATGATTTTTTCATGACGTCGACCCCCAGAGGTCTGGACCCCAAACAGCCTGGGACCGAAACCGACGGACCTGGACCCGCAAAAATGACGGCCGCGACGCCCTCTCGCGAACCGAAGGCGGCCAATTCGCCTGGGAGCGCATGGCAGCGCGCGGGAACGCTTTGGGGCGCCTGGGAACGCAACGCAGACACAATTAATCGTCGACTCCCCAGAAAGTATGGGAAAATATGGGAAGTGGGGGGCAAGACGAAAACCCAAAAATATAGGAAAATATGGGGAATCCTGTTATTTGTGTGCATTTATTTGCGTGTCCGGTGTGGGTTGGAAGCGGAGGCCGCCGGCCTCCGCCGCGCGCGCCACGCCGCCGCCTCGCGCGCGCCCTGCGCCGCGCCGCGCCCGCCGCCCCCCCGCGGAGCGGCGGAGCACGGCCGCGGCCGCCGCGGCGGTGAGCGCGGCGGCCGCGGAGGGCGCGGCGGCGGCCGCGGGCGGAGCGGCCGCCGCCAGGCCGCGCCGCCGCCCGGCGCGACGAGGCCGGCGCAGAGAGGCCCCCGCCCGGGCGCGGGGGGCGCGCCGAGGCGGGGGCGCGCATGGCGCGCTGGCCGGTCGCCCGCTCGGGGGAGAGTGGCCCCTGCCTCCGGAGAGTCCTCGCCGCGGGGGGAGGGGGAGGAGGAGGAGGAGGAGGAGGAGGAGGAGGAGGAGGAGGAGGAGGAGGAGGAGGAGGAGGAGGGAGGAGGAGGAGGGAGAGGGAGGAGGAGGAGGAGGAGGAGGAGGAGGAGGAGGAGGAGGAGGAGGAGGAGGAGGAGGAGGAGGAGGAGGAGGAGGAGGAGGAGGAGGAGGACATTTGGTCCAAAGCCATCTGGCCACGGGCCTCCGCGCCGTGTCCCAAGGGGGGGGGCGGCTTCAGCGCGCAGCCGCGATCGGCTGCGCGCGTATACCACCTCTACAGCAACCTCTGGGTGTACATCTTGATCCACCTGTGTGTGATCAACTGCGACTACAACATCATCCACCAGTGGGAGAACATCCGCGAGAAGGAGAGCTACCGCGACTACAACATCAACCACCAGTTGTTGAAGTACAAGGCTGCGAGACTTACACACTTTCGTGGAGACGTACCAGCAAGGTTGCCGAGACCATGCACGCATAGAAGAACACGGGGAAGAACAAACGCGGCTCAAAACGAGTGGGGTACAACGTCCGGCATGGGATACGGCCTAGACCTAACGGCATCATTATCATCGCTACGACCGCCCTCGCGAGAGCGTCCAAGCACGAGCTGCGTAACAGGCAGCCCCAGTGCGAAAACGAGCTCTGGAGCAGGCAGCCCAAGTACGAGAATGAGCTGCGTAACAGGCAGCCCAAAGACGAGTACCATCAAAATCACCACACCACGTACGCCACCAAGACCGACAGCAGAAACCACACGACCAAGCAGCCCGAAGGGGTTACTAAGGTACGTCGTCGTGGAGGTACCTGTGGACAACGGCTGCACCGCCTACGACGAGTACGAATACGGCCGCGCCGCCTACTACGCGTACGACGACGGCATTTTTATCGATAGCGACCTGTACTCCTACGATCCCCAGGACTACCCCCGCTTCCAGAACGTGGAACACTACAGTACAGCTTGGCAGCCGACGACTCCGATTCGGACCTCGGGGGCTATGAAGAGAGCGTGCCCTCTGAGCAGCTACAGCCACCAGCAGAGCTACCATAGCCACCAGACGACCTTCGGGGACCACACGCTGCACTACGAGGATCACAGGCACAGCTGCGAAAGCCACCAACAGAACCACGAGAGCCACCGGCTGAGCTACGAAGACCGCAGCTGACCTACGTGAGTCACAAGCAGGGCCACGAGGCCGCCACCAGCTGAGCCACGAGGGCCACCGGCTCAATTACGAGCGCTATCCATAGAGCTACGTGGACTACCCGGTGAGCTTCCGTAGCCACCAGATCAGCCACGAGAGCCACATGCAGCGCTTCGAGAGCCATCGGCAGAGCCGCGAGGTCCACCTGGAAAGCTACGAGGGCCGCAGTCTGAGCTTCGAGGGCAACGAGCAGAGCTACTGCAGCCACCAGCAGAGCTACCAGTGCCACCAGCGGCCCTTCGAGGACACAAT